AACTCTAAACAATCAATCACAAAAGAAAAAAGGGAGATAAATTGAGTTGAAGTATATCTAGTAGACTTTGTATATCCTAGCCCACAAAGAAGAAAAAAGGTTCTAGATTCATTAGTGTCCTGCTACAATTTGGGACAGAGGAAGAAGACAACCAGTGAGAAATAAATTTGTTGGCTTCTTTAAAGCTTGTTGATTATAGAAAAGTATAATGTGTGTACATCAGCTCGATCTTGAGTACTACTTTTCTGTTCTGATTGTTTCTTGTCTCTCTCACGAGCTTCCTGAAATTCTTCTCCTTCCCTCTAAGCAATGACAACAAAGAAATTAATGACTTGAAGTTATCAAGAAAGATAGTAACCTTTGCCCATAAAAGTAGGGGAACTATTGAATTTCTAGCAAAGTTAGTAGAAGTCTGGCACTAACCTCGAAAGCCCATTTACTAAAAACAATATTTTTTGTGCAGATGTCATTATCCACTAAGTTGCTTTGGTCTTGCAGTGAATTATCACGAAGCTCAAGTACTGCGCAAGCAAAATAACAATCTCATTATTATTATGAGAAGAAATCATATATAGCAATTAGCAATTGTGATTAAGCGAATTCTTACTCTCAGAGGAGCTGACATTACTAGTTAAAGGGATACTGTTACAACCAAGCACAACACAGATTTTCATGGTTTGGAGATCAATTCGTTGATAGCTTGTATGAAGACTTGGTAAATTTACAAGTCTCATCGCAAGTAAATTTGGAAGCACATCCTCAATGACCAAATCTTGTGGCACACCCTGCTTCCATTCAAAAACTTGCGCAAGGTCAGGAGCATCTTCTATCTCCAACATCCAAAGTATTAGAAGTTTAGCACATTTGGAGATGGAGAATAGGCATATTGACTTCTTGCACTTCTGCACTACAGTTGTACTTAGCTTGGGGAAACATGATTGATGTAGATCCAAAGCATTTTGCTGATTCCCTTCATCATGTGCTCAATGATGCTCACCAGCTCTTGGCAGTCTGATACGGCTAGCCTTCTCAATTCTGGCATGCTTCTTGTGGTACGTGCAGACATTATGAACTTCAACTGTTTACATTCTTCAAATTCTAGACCGGAAAGGTTTCGAAAGCTCAAATGGTTTTTAGGTCCCAGGTATACATCCCTTAGATCAGGCAACTCTTGCAAGAAGTGCCTTACCTTTCTCTTTGAAAGATAATGCCTGTAAGAATATTATTGAGATATGTTAGTATTAAAGAATCTCTTTAGGTGATGGATTATAAACTAGAGAAGCAAGCTGGAAAGAGGTTTACCTTTCTTTTTGAGAGATCTTCTTGTCTTTTGTGTCCACCAACTAAGAAATCTATAAAAATTTGGGGAAGCTGTGAACATCCTTTAACACTAATATCTTCTAGATGTAAACCTCCACGTAATAATTTTCTGCGCAAATAGTAACCATATTTGGGATATCATGAAGCTCCATTTTTTTCAAGGCTAGGAGATTAACTTTACTCTGAACATTATGATTCTCATCAGCATGACATTCTTCAAACACATATTTCATCTTCTCTGCCTTCCTAATGCTCACATATTTCAAGTCCTTAAAGTCTTTTGAATAAAAAGTTGGGAATACATATTCCAAATTTTTACATCTCTCCACATAAACTTGCTTTAAGTTTGGAAACATAGAGTGCACATTCATATGAGCATGACTATTAACACCCCTTGTCTGTTATTATATGCTCCAGTTTATTGCACCCCTGGACTTCCAATTTTTGGAGCAACGTTAGTGATGAGGCAATGGATATGGTAAAGAGTGAAATAACTCGGAAAATCTAGTTATCTCAATCTTTCTTAAATTGGATTGATATGATGGTGATGACAAACATCCATGAGCTGTACTTGCTACATGCTTCGCTTTTGATGTCTTGCTTAAATACAAACGTGTCAATTCTTTCTCTTTTCTTCCTTGGTAAACACATATGAACCCAATAAAATAAAAAGAAAGTTTCAGGTTCTACACAGAGCTTGCGAAGCCCAAGAAGAATTCAATAGAAATTGTATTTAACTTTATGAACAATTTATATACACATACATATTTTAACTTCTCCCCTAATTTTTCTCATATTGTAAACAAAAAGAAATGCTAGCCTTAAAAATAAAATAACTATAAGTTCAAACTGAAATTCCCATCCCTTGCCTTTTCTATTCTTTTCTATTTAAAAAATCACCCATAGGACACAATTATATATTAAAATATACAATTGTGCCCGCCTAGAGGCCACATCTATGTTAAAAATGATTAAGAATTTGAATATTCAATGCTCTAAATATCTCAGTAAATAAAAAAATGAATTAATGAGGGAAAATTTAACAATATAAATGACTTTAAGTGGAAGTCAGATGTGAAAATGTAACTTGCACGTAACACACGACATATTTTTGGACAGGTCATCAAAATTAATAATATGTGCTACCTACACATACACATAAAGCTTTGACAAGGAGAAATCTTTACAAAATAATATTATCTCCGGTTTTTTATATAATAGCTCCTTTGATTTTTATTTTGATTCTCAATATAAGATCCCAATCTATTTTGTCTCTCATATTTATCTATTTCTTTTCCAAGATAGTCCTTATAATAATGATAGTTTTAACTAATATACTAGATTAGAAGAATATTTAGGAAATAAAATATTTATTTATTACAAATAATTGACTTAACTAGTTTTCTTAATCTATTCAAATTAGTCAATTAACTCTTATATAAAGGACTAGAGGTAGTAGGTTTTATCTCTTTTGATATTCACAAACTAAGAAAAACTAGTTGGAAAGAGGCTTACCTTTGCTTTTGAGAGATCTTCTCTTTTTCGCACACTAACAGATAAATCCATAACAGTATTTATGAGAAGTTGTGAGCAGTTTTTCAAATGAATATCTTGCAAAGATAATGCCTTCATAGTGTAGTTTTTGATGCAAAAACTAACCATATTTGGTACACCTTCAAGTTCTAGTTCTTTCAAGGCTAGGAAATTCAGTTCGATGTGAACATTATCATGCCTCTGATTGGAATGACATTTTCCAAACACATATTGCAACTTTTCAGCATTGAAGACTCTGACTCGCTTTAGGTTGGAGAAGATATAATAATCATTCATATGATTGTAAACATGTCCCTCATCTCTTACTATATGCTCAAATCCACCATACTTGCTGATTATCAATTTTTCCAACAATTTCATTGATGAGGCAATGGATGGGGTAAAACGTGACTTCAACTCAGAAAATCCCTCTAGTCTCATCTTTCTCAAATTCTTGTATGGATATAATGGAGGTGTAAAAGGTCCACCAGCTCTACCGAGATGTTTCTCCTTTGATGCCTAAGTTACATTCAAGTACTTTTCAGTATGTCATTACATTACAAAATTACAATCATAGCAAGAAAAACAAATGAGAGATACGTACCTGAGTATGGTCTGGTTGATTGGCCTTGGAAACAGATGGTTCATCAATAGTTAAGGCACTGGCATTTGCAGATAAACAACATAGTGGGCCCCATGATTTCTGCACTTGGGAAGGCTGTGGCAGATAATATTCTGGATATATGTTGATGAATTTTGGTACGTTTGCGACTTCTATTTCTTGTAGTGAGGGGAGTATGATTTCCTTTTTCATTTGACACATTCCTTCCTCCTCTAAACATTGTCGAACTACGTATTTTAGCTCATTACAACCATGGATTTTCACACTTTCTAACTCTTTGCATGGAAAAATTGGCAATATAAATTCCAATTTATGACATTCTTGAACATTGAGAAACTTCAGTTTTGGAAACTTTGAGTGATAGATCTTTTGATTTCGATCTTGATGATCATCTACTTTCTGCTTTGCTGATCTCTCATCATCACTTATTAGGCATTTCAGGTTTGAGCATCTTCTTATGTACAAATTCTTCAATTGCTTTGGACTTTGAGCTGTGGATGGATGAAAAAGATATGCCATTGAACAATCATATAACTCAATGAACTACAAATTACATAGCTCTATTTTGTACTTCAATAATGTGCCTTCTAGTTTAGTACAACCACTTAAGTATAGCTTCTCTAGTTGCTTGAGAAAGTCATTAGGAAAATCACCATAACATAATTCCCTCACACGCATATTGCAACTTAACTAAGCTGATGAAGATGGTTGCACCAGATTGAATTCCACTTGTATTGATGAGGCATTATATTGCAGGCCAAGATTTCAAAGAAAGCCCAAGTAAGCATTCATGCCATCATCCTCTTTAGGATGAACCATCTAAGAACAAGATTTGTCCATCTTGTTTCATCACATCCTGTTAACTTGAGAATCTCTGCTCTTGTTGCTAGGGATTCAATTGTGCTTTCAGACAAGATCCCTTTTAACTTGGTTGAATTGAAATATTTTTTTGTTCAAGCATCCAATTGAAAAGAACGCGGGTTGGAATAGTTGCATTCTATATGATATAGTTCAAATTCTTGATGAAGATCTATAGTTTTAGAAGGCTTTATTTTAGTGTTAAGAGTTTCATGATTTGAAACGTAATACAATGCTTCAAGTTTTGAGCATCTCCCCATCACTTCAAACGGATTATTCCTTTTGATTGACCAAGTCCAGCAACCTCAATTTCTCTAGTTGGCTAACATCACTTGGCAGTTCAATGATGGAACAATCAGTCAACTCAAGAGTGTGGAGTGTAATATCTTTAAAATTTTCATAATAAATTAATTAATACTTATATTAATTGTTGTAGCTTGAGTACTGAACAGAGCTTGGAGATAGATGGTAACAAAGGTTGCTAAGGAGGCCAGAGGTTCCAGGTTCGAACCCCAGCCCTGTTTAAAGGAGAATTTATTTTGCTCAGTTCTATAGGAAAAATTACTTAAATACCCTTGTAAAAAAAAAAACAGAGAGATTGCTGCGTTATTTTTTTTCCTCTTCTGGTGCTTTAACTTCGGCGAGAGAGAGGAGGAATTGAGAGAATGAGTCATGAACTTCAAACCCTAACCCTCCACTCTCCCTCTTTTGGTTCGTCGCTCCTCCTACCATTCCTTGCTGTCAAAGTTGCTGTCACCGACATGGCATTGTGATTCTTTTGGCTTGCTTCAGTTCTGAACTTTTCCAGCTTTGCTGTGCCATTTTTGTCGCTTGCTCTGTTCGATTTTTGGTGGTTAAAAGGTTTGGAGTTCGTCTTTTCTTACTCTTGTCTGACCATTGATGCGATCTTTATCTTCCTCTCCTTTAGATTCTTAGTGTGCCGCTGTCAGTGATGGAGGTGAGTTGGTTCTCTTGCATTTTGTTCCTCTGTTTTGGATTTAATGTTTATAAGTGTGTTAGGCTGTGAAATTTTCAGTTTGTTGTGGCTGTTATGAAGTTTATCAAGGCTGGAACGGTGGATTAATATGCTTGGTCATCTTATTTAATTATTGCCGCATACAAGGTGTTTGTAGAAATGTTTGGGAAGAGGGTTTGCTTAGAAGTCATGCTTTATCTATTGAGCCAAGATGCTTGTTCGGTGGATGAGTTGAATGATTGCATGATCTTTATTGGGTTGAAAGATTGATGACGATGGTGAATTGTGGGCTGTAAGGGGAGTAGTTGGAGTTTATGATTGCAATGTTGATGGTATTCAAGTAACGGGAGAATTGAAAATCAACGTAAAAATGTGATTTGTCATTTAAGGACCAAGTTAAATTGCTCTCTTGGTGTCGGGTTTAATTATATGAGGATGGTACGTTGAAAATGGCACCCAATACGGTAAATCTTGTGGGATAAATTTAAAAGTGTAATGCCCATCCTAAAAGAGCTATTGGAATATTGGGGGTGAAATAGTGGGTTCTATAGTTGTTAGAATTTTTATTTAAGATGGTTCTTGAAGTTTATCTATCTAGTTATTGTGAAAACTTGTATATAAATTTTGGACTTGAGTAGTAATATTTTTGTTTTTGTTTTTGGACTTTAGGGGATTGAGGAGAGTTCCTATTACGGACGTGATTAAATTTAAGTATTATTGTGGGAACTTATCAGGTGAGTGAATAGCATCCCATTACTATGGTTTAAGGAAAAGAAAAAAAAGAAAATAAAAGAAAAAAAAAAGAGGAAAAAACTTTTACTACTTGTTATTAATCTAGTCAAATTATCATTTTTGTTGCCAGATAGTTTATCCAGGTAATTTAAATTAAATTCCATCATTTTTCAATCTTAATTATTTAATGTCTTAATGTTTTGTTGTTTAGGGAAATACTTTTGCTTCTTATGTTGAATAAGGTGCCAATTGTGATATGTTAATCAGCATTTTGTAATTAATAAATATTTATGCTTAGAACTCAAACATGGAGTTTTAAAAATGTTATTTGAGAATCTTCATGTTGGGATTATTTGTTACAAAAGTGTGTGTGTGTATATATATATATATATATATACTTTTAAAGGATTTCATTATTAGAAAACTTTATGTATATATATATATATTTTTTTTTTTCCTCTGTTAAGTTAGTGATGAAGTGATCTATGCATGCTTGTGAGTTTTTCTTGGAGGACCGAATACAGAACACTGATCGCTAACAGCAGTACTGTTAGTCCTTGGCGCGCCATGGAAATCTCGAGCTTGCTTGATATTCGTGGACATTGTCCCCGCACTTGTTTCGTGGCTTCGGCTGCACTTGTTTCGTGGCTTCGGCTGCGCTTGTTTTGTTACTCACCCTCGTGGACTGTGTGTCCACGCTTGTACTCGTGGCTTTAGGCTGCGCTTGTTACCCTGTTCTGTTAAGGTCCTACGAAAAGACAAGATTTGAAGGAAATAATAATAATAAATAGAATGATGTTTTCTATCATTTTCACGTATCAAGTTATCCTATTATGAAGTTTGATTTGATTTAATTGTTTAATGAGTTCAAGTATATACTTACCTCTTTAAATTTAGGATTTTATTTTAATTCTTGCCATTTATCTGTCAAAGTTAAATTTATTTTATTTAGTTCCTAATATTTTATTAGATATTATAATGGGATGTTATTCACTGGTAGATTATTTTGGCTTCAGATAGCACCGTAGACCCTGTCCCTCCAGCTGAGCAGTGAAGAGCCTCAGTGAAGATCCAGAACTTCTGAATCTATTTTGAATAGTTGTTAACTAATGTAAACCCAAGAGTATACTTATGTATTTAATTTTGTAGTATGTGCTCCACGAAATCTATAGTTAGATCCTAGCCTCATGAGATAATTGGGATGTAATTATATATATACTTGTGTTGGGGAGTAGGGCCCCGAATACTATTTTAAGCATGCAGGCCATTGTAGAACTTTCGGGGAGTCTGATTTACCATGGAGACCTTGCCGAAATTTCTACAAATGGTTTATTATTTTGGTTATATGCCCTGTTTATAGTGGATGTTAATTGTTAGGGACAGAGAAGGCTCGGGAATGTGAGATTTCTCATATTCCTTGTCTACCTTAAAAAAAAAAAAAAATTGGGGTGTGACATGGAGTTTTTTAAGGTTTTGCAAAGTAGATATATCATCTAGCTCCCAATTTGTTAGGGACAGTGTGTGGATATTTCCAAGTGAATGAATTGATTTTGGTAGTGACAAGGCCAATGTTCTCTGAAATTTAAACTTAGAACACAAAAGGTTTTCTCTAAGTCCCTTCATACGTCCAAAGAATGCCTCAGGAACTTTCACAGAACGACTTGCATTATTTACCCATACTAAAAGAACCTCAGGATTGCTGCCCTCAAAAAAATTGGAGAAGTCATCTATCGTCCAAGTTGAATATTTTACATTCTCCTTCAATTCTGTCACAGACAATGAATATTTTACATTCTCCTTTGATTTTTGAGTCTTTTCACCTGCCATCTGTTGAGCTACATCGCAAATCCCATCATGCATCTTTACACATTCTTCTCTAGCAGTCAACAATAAAGCAGAACATACAACTGTGTTTTTATTAAAAGCACCTCATTTCTTGCTTCGTAGTAGCTGTCAACATTTTCACAAAGCCCCAAACCTATAGCAATTATAATTAAAAGTTCTACAGGTATTTCATAAGCCCTTTGAAATATTGAATGTATAAAGGTGAGATCTTGGGCTCCTGTATCTAGATGGTTGATGCTCATTTTCAGAGAATTATTAAACTCTTTCGCTTCACCATTATTCCCATGCCTTAAGGATGAATCTTTTTTTGTTGCTGTAAAAGCATCCTCCCATTCATTTGGATCCCAGTTCCTGAGGTTTTTGCCATTGCTACAACTATAACAGGTAATCTTCCACATTCATTCACAACTTTTGATGCCAACAACTTCAAGTTATTAGGACAATCTTTCCCACTTTCACTAGCATGATATAGGGGAAGATTGGCTGCATCTTCCTGAGGTGAGGTCTCTAGTTTAATGGTCTATTGGCATCCCATGCTTTTACAAATTGTCTCATCACGTGTGATTAGCGAAATACTACATCAGCCCTGGTTGTATATGCCATGTTGAATGCCTATGTTCTCGAGTTTGAGCTCTTCCCAGACATCATCAAGTATTATGAGTATATTTCCAGCATTAGCAATTCTGATCCACATTTGTTCTATGTGTGTTAAATGCTTGGCATCCTCTAACTTTAATTCCAATTTCTCTGCAACTTCATCTCGAATCTTCTTTTCATCAATAGGGTTAGGCATTTCAACAAAGATAACTTTATCAAATGCCTTTGAATTTTCAAGTTCCTTCCCAACTGCTTTTGCCATTGTGGTTTTCCCGGATCCTCCCATTGCTTGCAGTCCAATACTATGTATATTGTCATCTTTTAGCTCCTCCCTAAGTTGTTCAAAAGCTGAGGTTCTCCTGTTAAAATATATAAACTCTTGAATAGAACTCCATGCCTGGACGGTCAGCTGCATGTGCAACTTGTGAGAAGCTCTCAGCTTTCTCTATTATTTTGGGAATCTTTTACACAATGTGCTCTAATTTCTTTGCCAGTGAATACTAGTGTGAAAACCAATCAGTACGGAAACCAAACCATTTCTTTGGTCTTTTAACTTAAAAAAAAAAAATATAAATATAAATTTGAAACAAAAATGTTAACAAAATTATATATATATATATATATATATATATATATATATAAAAAGAAGAATGCACAGACACATATGTTTCTTTTGCGAGCTTTGTAGGTTTAAATTGAAACATCTAATAATATAGACATTTCTTATCTTAATTAAAAAAAAAATTTTAAGTTAGAATAATATCAAAACGATAAATCTCGGTGGTTTCGGCATAAGCCATAATAATGTCATGACAAATAGTTTGATTTCCGCAGCGACTTTAAATTTTACAAAGTAAAATAACTTAACCTTTATTGCATTTTATCTTAATTATATATATATTCTCTCCACTTTGATAACGTATGCTTAAATTCTAAACCATTAACTCCATTAAGAATATTTTTAAAAGATAATTTTTCAATTAAGATTTATATTAAATATTCTTTATCATAATAAATTACCAATCTTGAAAATAATTTAAGATTTTTTTCCTTTTCCTTAATTTTATCTTTTATTTTTGCAAATATCTGAGTGATTTAGTTAAGGTGTACATAAAAAAAATTGATTGAAAATTTAATTAATTCTTAAATAAATATAAATGTTTGTAACTAAAATTTTGTTTAAAAATTTCAAATTATAAATTTAAAAAATTTATAGAATCACCCAAAGTTACATCGTTTATACCATATGATAAAAAAAATGTGTTTAAAATATTTTTTATCCACTTTAGAAGAAGGGAGAATTCCATTTAAATCTAGCTAAAATACTAAAATTTAAAATTAGGTTTACACTTCGAACAAATCTCTAATCAGGTCAAGAGGCCTAGTTAGGAATTTATAAATGTTGTTAAAAATCTAGATTACCCCTCTATAATTATAAGATGAGTTGTTACCTTTATATTTTTCTTCCTCACAAATTTTTTCCTTAAATTTTTTTTGGCCAGATTTCTTGAAATTTGAAAATAGTAATTTTTAGTAAATGACAGGAAATTACAACACAATCTTGGATTCACATTAAAAATTACTCAACACCATCATCAATGTAATAGTGTAGGTAACTAATAGATTCTAATTTTGGATGGGCTTAATTTCTTCTCAGTTTTAATAACTGATCCATCCTCCAAATATTTTATACACACACATACAATTTTCTTTTATTAAACTCGTATATTTTTTTAATAGAACACACATATTTTAAGAATGAAAATTTTTTCAGACAACAAACCTTTTACAGATTTTGGATTGAGGACCATGTTATCATTTATTATTTTCATATTTTAAGAAAAAATGCATAAGGGAGAAAAACATATAAGTATTATCTCATATTTTAATTATAGAGGGCATTTTGATCTTTTAACAACATTAATAAATCTCTAATTAGACCTCTTGGCCTAAATAAAAATTTATTTAAAATGAAGGCCTAATTTTGAATTTCAGTATTTAACTGGATTTAAATGGGGTTTTTTTTAAAAGAAATCTCAATAACTAAATTTTAATAAATGTGATGAAAAATTAAAATCATAAAATTTTATAACATAATAAAAAATAATATTGTGACATTTTAGAAAATCTAAAAATATATGTATTGAATTATATATAAATGTATAAATAATTTGCATATATGTTAGGAAGGGGCGGTATTTTGATAAAAATAAAAAATTTAAAAGTTAAAGTTAACAGTTAACTAATATTTAATTGGATGAGGATAGAATCTCAAATATATAATCGATATTTGTATAATATACAATTTAATTTCAAGAAATGTTTATATTTCAAAATAAAAGGAAGGTTTATGTAATTTACTTTAGTGTATCTTAGCAGTAATTTTCCTTGGTCATCTCAAACAAATTTTTTTAAAAAAAAATTGTATCTCTCATCTTCATCTAGATGTCACCATAAATAGAAAGAGCGGAGGGAGGGGCAATATGGAGGGAGGAGATTTCATGACACGTGAACCATAGATTAGTGACAACATATTTCATGATGTTCCTTCAATAAATCCGTCGCAAAATAAGAATGAATTAGTTATTCTTTAAATTAGTAATGACTAATGAGTATTTTTCATTGCTAATTTTGGTTGTTATATATTCTGGGATGAAATTAGTGATGGAATGTCGACAGATTATTTGCAACAGAGTAATGGCATTATTAATTTTAATCACAGAATTAGCGAAATTCTATTGCTAGTTTATTTTTTTTTTTTAGCGAAAGACATTGATTTGAGAGCTTACAATATTAATATTATGAAATTCTATACATACATCTTGTCCAATTATTTCAGACTCTCTGACGGGTACCCTCGTCCTTCTTGCTTCTTGGCTTCCTGCTTTGGCCCTAATTATAAAAACAACATTGATTTAAATGTTGAGAAAAATTAAGGAAATGACCTAAATTGTAATCACGTAAGTATTTAGAATAAAAATAAGGAAATTTGAGAAAATTTGCTTATTGAAAATTTTATTGGTGAAGAGATTTTAAATTAAAAGATTAGAAACTCATTGAAGTATATATTATGAGACTTTTTTTTCACTGTTTTTTAATGAACAAAAGGATGATAGAAAAAGACTTCGGTTAGAGCTCTTAATAAGAGGTCCCGACCTTAAAAAGCTAATCCTTAATGGGTTATAATCTAAAAAAATGGCTTTTTTTAGAATCGGCCTATCATAAAATTATTTTATTATTAAAGCTCAGTCTTCATGCATGCGGATATAGAGCCCACCCATGGGCCTTCATATCATTTTGTTAAATTTCAACTTTTTTTAAAAAACTATTTTGGAATAAAAAAACAAACAACAAATCTCTTAGAATTAAATAAAGTATCATACTATTGTTCAAACTTTCAAAACTAAGACAAACTAAATCTTAAATGGTGCATGAAAAGAACCTCAAATACTAATAAACTATTGTGAATACTTGAAAAAAGTAAATAAAGTCGACTTTAAAAAGATAAAAATTAAAAACGTCTACGTGATTATTATCTTCATCTTCATTGTTATTATTAGAATCAACAATACTTACTTGTTATTCACAACAAATAAGCTTTTTTTAATAGCAAAAATATCGCGGTTTTCGTTTCATCACCATCATTAAAGTAAAAACATGCCACCAGTTACATAC